TCTCGCTGGCCGAGTAGCTGATAGAGTGTAAACCATTTAAATTCAAAATCAGTTTTGATCAGGTGGACCTCGAATTCTCAGATCGAGTTCTTTCAAAACCTGAGCTAGAAATAAACCTGAATGAATTAATAATAATTAATTCCCTACAGTTAAAATTAAGTAATCAAAGTCATTACATACTAAAACAGATTTTGAATGAATCAGTCTGCAAATTATGTATGTTACTACAGCCTGTTAATCTGCAAATGTATAACAGGTTGTATTACATTCACTGTAACAGTTTAAATTGCTTTACAGGAAAACTTGATGATGGTGCAGTGGGATTTGTAGCCATCACTGGAAGTTTGTGGTAAGCAAAACCATTTGGAAGTTGAAAATTTGAGTCATTCCATAGTTTTAGTATTGTTAATTCAATGAAAACAGTTATACTATAGAGATCAACTGTGAATATTGTGTTTAGGTTTGATTATGTGGTTACATTTTTAAAAATAACAGTAACTTATATTTATTATTTTAACTTCACTGTTATGGAACCAACCTGAGAAATGAATTTGTAGTTCCTTCATGCATGTCAGAGCAAATATTTGTTGTTGACCCAGCTGATGCCTCGAATTAGCTCAAGGGCTCAAAACTAGCAGACACACGTTTTCATGTGTGACAAAAATATCATGTTTCCTCATGTTTGTCACATATTTCTTTCCTTTTTCCTTAAAAAAATGAACATGTTTTCCTATGACAATATTTTAAGACGCTTCAATTTACATGGCAAAAGGGACTGGATAAATATAAGATGGAAACCCAGCATCATTGTCCACATAGTGCAGGAAGATGTGGGGTGTTTGTTGTGCAGGTGATTTTTATTATTTTGTAATTGCATTTATTAACTCAATACAAATTATGTATTGTTTAGACCAACAACATAGTCATGATGACATGTAAATTACGGTAAATCTGCTATTAACACATATTTGTCAGGTCATGCATGCAGAGGCGGGGATGAGTTCAAACGTGAATGGTTCTGTGTGCGATGAAATCCGTGACTGCGGTGCTTAAGACGGGAACATGGGTGGAAAATAGGAGAAAACTAATTGAAGCGCAGACGAGGAACAACTTTAAAACTGGAGGGTTTTGTCCGAGTATGTTCTCACAACATTGAGCAGCGACTGATGTAGTGGTGTTGAGAAGTTGCTGGTGTGAAGTTGCTTAAATCGACGAATAAGCTTTCATAAGGTAAGTAGACTCGTGAATTATAAATCATAGCAGAAACTCATTAACTCATTTCACTAGGTGTCTAGTTTTGTTGTTCAGTAATCTCCATCATGTCCATCCTTTAATAATAGAATGTGTACCCCATGGTTAAAAAATACCTATACGCCTATAATAAAATACCAATATAAAATTATAAAAAGTACCTGTATATATCGTCTTTCTAAATCATTCCCAAACATAAGATTGTTGTTTAGGCCATACATACCACATAATATTAGAATAGGTATCTCTTAGTTTCAAAATACTTACAGTATAAATGATTTGTAATTTTACAGGTTGTTACCCCTTTATTCCGCAAACGTCGCATATTATTCCCCTGGCCTATACCTGCACACAGAGATCTGATCTCACCATCATCTATATGCGATTACATGAAGAAACAGAAGAAACGGAGACAGATTAAACCCAGAAGAACTGTGGCAACGTCTCCAAGATGCTTCAAGAAACCATGTTGCCATTTGTGCCACTTTCTTGTTTGTAGCTTTCTTTAAGTCATATGCTTCAAGTAGCTATGCTTTGTCTGGTTAGATTCAGAACGGCACTTGGCATAATGGTCTGGAAGCAGTCAATTATAAATTTGGGCTCTTGAAGGAGGACTTTGTTATTTGGTAATCTGGCATACCGGGCATTTTCCCGGTGGGCCGACACACTTTTGGGCCGGTACAATTATTTATTTATTTTTCCGCCAAGGATTGGCCCATCATGCAGAGACAGCGGCCTATCACAAAGCATTGCAGAAAGAACATGCTGTGTAGATCTAAGGAATATGTTGGATTACTACCCATTGCTTGAGTACACTGTTTGTGGTATGCCTGTACTAATTCTGCACCACTCTTTTCTCTTTTCTGTAGAGCAATGTCTAGCTGGTTTGAGGAGGTTGAACGCATAATTCTTCAGGCATTGCCCAGCCTGTCTTCTGACATTCTGCAACAGATCATTTCCAGTCTTCAAAGGTCAGGACCAGGGCTGGACTGGTAATCTGGCATAGCGGGCATTTTCCTGCTGGGCCGACGCATTTTTGGGCTGGTACAATTTTTTTTTAAACCAAGGACCGGCCCATCATGCAGGGACAGCGGGACCCATCACAAAGCATTATATAGACGGAGTGATAAGGGATCTTGCTCCGCCTATGTAAATATTGCTTCACCTCTCTTCCACCTTCCTCTCAGTCTCTCAAAATGGACAGACCAAATCAAAACGGTGGTGCTGAAAAGTTTAGGGAAAAGTAGCTTAAAAATTTGGAGGCAGATGAAGCAAAATGTGTCTCGTCGTCGGCAGTTCCGAAATGTACACAGCAGCATTATCAAGAACAGGCTTGCTCTGCTGTGAGTGATGTGGGTCAAAGGGACAGGCAGGAGGAGGAGAGGAGAGGAGTTTAATCGGTAAGGAGCTTGGTAATAGGGGCTCGCATGAAGGGGAAATTGAGGAATCTAACCTGTCCTATAATGCGTGTGCACGCCATGAGTGTACTTAAACACTTTTTAATAAAATGAAAATTCATCTCTTGTGCTTTTTTGGCCAAGTCAAGTGTGTTCACAGAGGTTTCCATGGGCCAATGCGAAAAAAACCTTGATTTAAATATGACCTGACGTTTTATTCTTATCCAATTCAATTCAATTAAATTCAAGTTTATTTGTATAGCGCTTTTCACGATACAAATCGTTGCAAAGCAACTTTACAGAAAATTAAGTTTCTACAATATATTTAGTAGTAGCTTATCAGTGGTGACTGTCAGTTAATGTACATATGGCAGAAATCCAAAACAACGAGATGGGATATTCACACACCGTTATTTTGTGAGTTTGCAATATAGTGAAATACTTAACTTTCAATATTAAAGATACCAGTACTGTAATCACTGTATTTTAAAAAATCCATAATTTATTAACTTATTCTTCGCCTTCCTCTCTTATTCTTATAAAGGTTGCATTCTTTGAGGAGGTCTTTGCTGTCCATTAGTGTGAAGATTACTGGCAACATTTTAAATTATAGTAGCCTATATGTTGTACACAGTTGTATACTTATTTTTATTAATTGGAAATCATACTTTGACCTTTTAGCTTAACATTGTGTTATTTTAGACATAATGTTGTCTGCTTTGCTCAATTTTGCCAACGAAAATATAAAGACAAAGCAGAACTGTTCATCTCCGAGCAACACACAGCGGCATTTCATTTCTTAATTCACGTTTTTGAACGAATTAGGTGAACCATTTGGCGCGTGGAACCATTGGGCATAGGCGCGTTATTCAAGTGGCGCTGCACAGATCGATCGGTGTTTGACAGCAAAGTACCACGAGAGCGATTCAAAAGCATAAGGAGCCGTCTGCTCTCTATAGCTCTTGCGGTACTTTGATGTCATACACCGATCGATCTGATGGTGATGCTCCGCTTCAAGTCGAACAAGCCTAATGATTCAATGGATCATTCATAA